TTCTTTCAATAAATGACTCAGTCTTTTCCAGCTGGCCACAAAAAACATTTTCTGGAGATCACTCAATTCTGTTCCGTAGGTCATTCGTCCTCTTTCTTTACACCACTTATTTTCTTCTCAATGACTACTCAATCATTTGATGTTTTCATCGAACTACTATTTTGTATTTCAGCCAATTTACCTGTTTCTTCTGCTTTTTTCAATATATACTTTGTGCCACTAGGCATCACAGTTAATCCAGATGACAGGTAACCGAGCCAGGCAACGCTAAGATGCTTGGTATGCTATGCTGTTGTAAAGTCTTATGCCGTTAGTAACTTTTTCAATCCATTTTCTTCTAGGTCTCCTTCGGCCTCCAGATGTCTCCATTTCCATATTGTATGTGTTCACTAATGTTAGATTCATTCTCACTAGGTGACCAACAAATTGTAGTCTTTGTTTCTGAATTAATTTAATAATGGGTATTGTTTCAATAGTTCTTCTAACCTTTCACCTTTGATTTTTTTTAAATTTTATTCCCTTTACAATATGAAAATCATGCCAGACACAAGTGATGGAATACAATTCAACAGCCTCTCAATCAGAATGCTGGTGCAAATTCTCAGCAGAGAGATAAAATTGTTGTATACGCGTGAATTAACTGTGCATAAGCCCCATAAATGAGAAAAAGGCTTTTAGAAATACCAACAAATTATGACCTCTACCAAAGGTCACCCTAGGCATCAAACCTAAAGTTATGCAGGAATATGATAGGGCAGTGGCTTCAAAAGCTTTTGACTGTTTTGACATTACTGTTATAACTTGTCTACTGCATTTTTTAGCTCTAAAATGTATCGGGGGGGGGGGGGGGGGGGGGGGGGGGGGGGGGGGGGGAAGCTGAATTTAACCACATGATTAAATAATATGCTTTTTGTAAACATAAAATAGTTAACAGAATTTAAAGCCATATTTAAGACAGAGTTGATGTATGTATGAGTTATCCAACTTGTGCATAATAAGGATGAAGAATAAATGCTAATGAACAGATAAACATACGACCTGATGAATTAACAATTTTGTTTTCAATTTAATTGTTTTCATTTAAGCACATGACTACGGTGTAATATTTTACCTTTAATGAATTTGTTCTGTGCATGACAACCTGCAGTAGTATTTAACAATCTTACAAAAATAAGCAAACTTTATTTCCCAACAAATCTTACATGTATATGGCAAATAAAACAATGATTTCCCAGCTTGCGTTCCGGAGCCCTATTGTCGGGACAACAAGTATAGACCCAATGCCTTCTGAACAAGCATGTCCTAAGAGTCGACTAACTGGGGGCTTCATCTAATGTCAGAGTACATATGCCTGACAGCCAAGGAGCCAACAATCTGCTCTGTAAAATGGATGTGCACATAACATTCAGGTTCTGGAACAAGACTAAAGTCCAGAGGTGGATGAACAACCAGAACTTTCTGCTGGAGTTTACAACCTGTGAATGTGAAGAAGAAGAATTTGGCTCTATACTCAACAACAATGGGGACTATTCAATAGAAGCCAGGAAAGTGGCTACAGCAATGAAGAGGTTCATCATCATCACCATGTCATAACTGCCACACTCTAAAAGCTTGCTGAGAAAGGTGAAGACAGGGATGCTTCGAGCAGAGTGGCACACTTCACTAGGAAAATCACAGGTAGTAGACTACTTTAGATGTTTTCTCCAGGCCATGCTGGCGTAAAGGGGAATGAACATGCAGACATATTGACTGGATCTGCACCACTGAGTGGTCAACTGATACATGACAAGGCAGATGTAGTCAGGACCCTTTGGGAAAACGGAGTCAAAAGCGAAACAAGATTATGGCCTGGAGAAAATGAGGCACATCAGTGTAACCAGAGAATTTGGCCGGCCTACTACACTCAGAGGAAAGAAAGGCTAGACGGACATATAATCAGACTGCAATGGTACCCATTAGCACTGGAACTCCACGCTGGCTGCCGAAGATAAGGATAGGGCATGCATGGGAATGCCCCGAGTGCTGTGATGTCAATTACTGACTTAACACCATGCATAACGCTATGAGTCACCCAGTCACCACATGCTGTTGACTGATCAACCCCTCCATCCCTGACAAGGAGACAGTGAACTCCATGTCTGCATAAGCGGGGCTTGACCAGTCAAACAAATTCTTTACTCATGTCTTTCTTGGTCTGCTGCTTCTTCTCTTCCCCTCTACACAGTCCTGTTATATCACTTTGGGATGGCCAGTAGATCTTGTTACATATCCCTACAAATGAATTTTCTGTCTTTTTACTGCTAAGATTCATAGTTGCCAATGTGTTGGATGACAATATGGCAAACTTCATTATTTGTGATACAGTGTCTAATATACACCTATATGTTGTTTATGTGTGTGTGTATATATATATATATAATTATATATTATATATATATAATTTTTTTTTTTTCCTTTTAGTTTTCAAGTTTGCATGTTAAGGTACACAAAGGCAGAGGTTAATCAGCATTAGAAGTTGTTGGCACAACATGGGTCAACAAATTAGGTAAGTTTTGAAAACGTCAACAAATTAAAGTAAGTTTTGAAAACATGCATATTCTCTATGGTAAGATACCATTTTATAATCATTAAAACTTCTTTGGAATCTGAACTTTAAATGCTAAAGACAAAAATGTAGTAGTACTGTTGGCTCAAAATGTAGATTTCAGGAACTTATTTTTACCCTCTACAGAAAAAAAAAAAAAAAAATACCATCACAAGCACTACATCTAAGAAGATCAGTTACAAGAGCAAGAGGACGGCCATGGAAAAAATAGATCGACAACATTAAAGGCACACTACGCCTTCACATGACAATAGCCAGTGGCAGCCAACGGGCACTGGATAGCAAATTATTTCTCCTCCCGATGCTTAACAAAAGATGGTTTATGATGATGATGATGATGAAGGAAAAAAAATCCCCCAATCTTACAGATCGCCCAAATGTGAACCCAGTGTTTTTTGATCAAGAAGGAAACCAATAATTCTGTTCAAAATCTGAAAAATTTTAAAAACTGGCACATAAACACCATCATGTCTCAGAAAGTAAAATACCTAGGCCATATTAACCCCAACAGCAGTATAGAAAAAACAACAATGGAAGAAACACTTCTTGGAACAACAGGCAAGGGTAGACCAACACAAATGTGGATATTTTGTGCTGGCTGCTGAAGATAGGAATGGAGCCCTTAAGGGAATGCCCTGAGTGCTATGATGTAAGTTCTTGAATCAACTGATTCCCCCATGAGGGGATTACCAATTTAAAGAGAACCTGCTACATGATGAGGTCATCCATGGATACGGATAACATGACTCACTGAAAGTCACTTGGGACAAGTGACAAGATAAGCACCATGTCAGGACTTTGCAACTGATGACATGCAAATAATGCCCTGATTCTCTAAATTCTAGCCACTAAAGAATCTAACTTTGCAGATATAAGCTGTCGGATGTGTGGTTACTTTTTTTCATACCCCCATAAAAAAGCTTACAATTCGCACCACTGTAATGGCGTAGCCCACTTTTACCATATAATGGTGTTTAAGAATTACCCATTATACTTGTGTGTATTTTCCATAAACTGGTTTTATATGGGGAGGGACAAGTTTTTTTGTTATCTTGTTCTTAAATGTACTTCTAGGAATAACTCAGCCTACTAAAGACAGCCAGTCAAATCTACTGAAGATTGACAGTTGACTGACTATCAATAATGGCTGAAATGTAAGGTGAGGCCACTGTTTATGTTCAGTTAAAAGTCAACGTAGGGTTGTATATAACATCAAGTCTGTATGGTGGACTAATAATCTTCCCCAGCCACAAAAATGCCACCTCCTGACATGTTTATCTTCATATCTTCACTGGCTACCAGTTTTGTGCGTAGTTTACAGGACCTGTAAGCAAAACTCTGGCAGGGGCACAGGGTCTTTCAGCAGGAACACTTGAGAACAACACAGGGGGCTGGCCTGGTAATTCTACTCCCCACTGTCAGGAAGGCATGCAAGGCTGCCAGTAAGTGTAGGGTCAGGCTTGGTTAACCCTCGCCTTCGAATAATTTATGAGGCTGGGCGCGATTTCCCTGGTTAGTATAACAGTGTACATTTACATTCACTGACTGATAAGGAATGTCTTAAATGTCTAAAACTAAAACACTAATTAGAATATAGGTTAGTTAAAAAAGTTTAGAAAGTAGTAAAACAAAATAAACTAGAATCAATATAATATTCTTTAAAACCGAAGTGTATTTTACAAGTAGCTGGTCGGAGCTCTTCACATAAAAAAAAAAAAATCCCGAAGCCAGAGAAATGGGTTAAGGTGTACAGAACTACAGGCTTGTTTATGAAGTGTACACAGGCCATAAAAAGACACACGAAGGTCACACAGAAAAAAGAACTGGCCTCCTTGCCGCGACCTACCTCCTCCACCAAGCGATTAACAAAAGAATAATCTCTTGCTATCCTGGCTGAGGCAAGGGCCATGAACAAAGGATCCAGCTACAAGAATCATCAAAGTTTCATGTTTCAACTTCTCCCCCAGCGGTTCAGCGTTGTCTACAGCAGACGTAACGTAAACAAGGATGCTTTCTCTACAACCTTTACCTTCATTATGGAGGTCAAGGGTCATTCACATGTCGGGTAAGAGAAAAAACAACACGCCAAAATTTGATGAATGCAGGTCAATTTGTTTTGGTTAAAAACACCCAATCACGTAATAATAAAAGACAACATTGTATGTGATCCATATCGCGTAGGTTTATTATCTGCCGCAGTAATAGCAACACACTTCTAAAGACAATTTAAAAATTAATTAACATTTAAAAGAAAATGTGTGTACACACAAGTGACAAAAGCTTTTCTCCCGCTCACGATATGTCATCTGAGTACCGGACTTTAAAAATATAATAGTAATTATACTATTGTTGAGAAAACTAAAACCAATGTTTTTTACAAGAATTAATTCCTTACCCTGAAGGGTGCTCCTTGTTCGTAAACATCGCCATCTGTGTACCTGGAAGTTGCTGTCAGGGTGGGGGCGGTGTCTTCCCCAGAAGCGTGCCGATTTTTGGCTCCAGAACCCGTATTTCCCATAGCAAGGACGTTATTGAATACCTCACACAAAGACTGTTATGTCGTTTCGAGTAAATCAGCGGCGACGCTATTAAAACGAAATAACTAAATATATTCAAAGATAACACACTGGTGTAGTCGAGTGCAATTCGGGCACTTCTGGTCGTTGTGGTTGTCCTCGGCCTCACAAACGCTCGCAGCCAGTACACGCTGAAACAACGAGAACTGAAAGTACTTTGTCGCTGACCCTGTCACTGGAAGGTAGCGATGCGTTGGGCTCAGACCCGTTTCAGAATCACAGATTTAGGTTACAAAGCTTAATGATGATATGTATTAACCAGCAGAAACGAGAAACCTGTGTTCTCGCATGGCTGTGAACATGTAAACAAGTTAGCTTGGGCTGGAGAGAACCGATATGCCTTACAGCGTAAACAAAAATGGTGGTTCGTGTAGCCAGATTAACGGGAATTGTTGGATAGCTCTAGTCGGAACGTTCCGTATGCAAATTTTAACCAATCATTTTCGCTCGTATGTGCTCGATTAAATACGTTTATAGCCGAAGTGATAATATTAAAGTTTCGGCAAGGATCGTAAGTCAACAGCAAAACACGTGTTTTGCTGCGTGTTTTGCTGTGTTAAAATGTCCAGAATTGAGAAATTATTCTCTATTGTAGATTAAAACTATTTAATAGTGTTTTGTTAATAGCAACAACAGCTGATAAAATGCAAAAGGATTGAAGCAGATATTTATGCATGTGTTAAACAAGAGTAATTTAGAAAGCTGTTTTTTTTTTGTTTTGTTGGACCTTCAAGGTCACAACAACATTGCTGAACACAGCAACAGTATCTGTTGAAACTATCGACCAATAAATAACAAGGAACACAACAAATCGGTCGAAAAAAAATGGTCATTGCTGTGTTTCTTTGCAAATATTATTGACGGAGTATTTACCTATTCCATGTCGCAGATTTGTTTTGTTACCGCATTCAAGATCAGAAAGAAAACAGCCGGGCTTTGATTTGTTAAAATTATTTCTCGTGAAATAAGCCTATTAGTCATCACGCTAAGAAATTAAACGAACTTGTATTTATCAGGGATACGCGTTGTCCCCAAGGCTTTGTAACATTTCCACAGCAAGCAGGCGCGCCGCCACAGAGAATACTGAGATTCAGGGAAAGGGCTCAAGTTGTGTTTCAGTGGGCAGCAATAATAACAACATAACTGTCATTATTATTGCGCACTTTAACAAGGTAAATTAGGATGACCGTATAACCTGTTGGCTAGTTTAACAAAGCCCTTTGACTCGCTACCCTCCCCCACCCCCATCTAGAAAAAAAACAAATTTATTAGGCTTTATAGGTTTCTATTAGGCTTTGTTTAATTTTGCAGTCATAATAATAATAACTATGTGCTGAATTATGAATAAAAATAAGATATTTGAAATCATATTAGGCATAGAAACAAACACTTGAAGATAGAACGCGTACGTATGGTGTGGGGGTGGGGGCTGCACTTAACATTATGGGTTTAGACAGTGCAGCCCCTCTCTCTACCCCTTACCATTTTGTGGGGGGGGGGGGGGGAGGGGGTGGGCGTCAATAGGCCTGAACCCTCCTCATCCTGCCTCAGGTTCCGGCGCCTAGGTTCCAAGTATATAATTATATGTATGTTTCGTCAACACATTGTTATTATTATTACTAGTATTGTTTTTATTATTAGGCGAAAAAGCAAATAATTTTATTACTGTACTTAAAAACAAAATTCAACGTAAAAGCAAATATGTTACAAAGATTTTGAATAAATCGTTGAAAAGGTGTGTCTTAGTTCCCTTACAGAATAAGGGGGAGGTGGGGGGGGGGGAGCGTCACCACCCAATCCTCACAATAGGTGAGGGAGCGACACGAGGATCCTGCACCCCTATGTAACGGCGTATATGGCCTTATTGTCCTACATTCAACGCGTGGGTTCCATGAAATCACTGGAGGATGGAAGGGAGTGTGGGGGGGGGGGGGAGAGATAAGAGATTAGTGCTCACTAATAATATGTTGAAAAGGCCGGCGACTAAATTCAGAACTTGCTTAGGTCGGGTTGCGGCGTCCGTAGCTTAGGCGTTGCGAGTCCGACTCGTAATTCCAACATACCGCGATCGAAACCCACTGCTGGCTACGCGGGTTTTTATCGTGTAATAGGTCGTCGCAGGTCGACCTAGCCTAAAAATGGGTACCGGGATGTATGTCCTGGTGAAGTAAAGACGACCGGCGTAATGCTGACTACATTATCCACCTAGTGCCGGTTGGTCTGGTTAAATATGGGTACTCTTTCCTTATGCCCGATGCGCCTAAAGGCGTGAAAGGGATCTTTAAGTCGGGCTAGTTGGACCGAAAGGCGCAGATATGAAGATCAGCTGTAAACCACAACACAATGTGCCAACTGCCTATTTAAGGGGGGATCGGAGAAGAAGAAACATGTTATAGAGGAGAAGAAGAAGAAGAAGAAGGTGTCGACCGTGCAATCCTGTTTCATAACTTCCCTATGTTCATAAGATTTTAGAATTTAACCACAGTTCGCGAGATAGGTAATTTCAGTTTGGTGATAGTTTCCGGAACCAGTCGAATGTAATAATATATCTACTTCATGAATATTCGCAAGTTTATATACATGGCAGATCTTCGAAAACAAGTGGACCCTTAGTCTAGGGCAGTCTTAACACCTGGACGCTTGCCAAGGGGACCTGCGAGCACAAGGGCCCTCTGTTAATCTACGAATGTAAAGTGACTTGCCATAAATGAAATTAAAATAAAAATACTTTTATATTAATTCTATGTAATAAAGCCGAAATTATACCCCCCCCCCCTCCCCCACCATCCCCTTTTTAAAAATCTCCCCCACCAGTGTTGTTGAAGTGGTCAAAAAAAAATGTTTTATTTTATCGACCATTTACATGTCATTCCTAATGTCGTAGGGGCCCCAGGAAACTGATTTGCCCAAAGGCCCACTGTGCTGTTAAGACAGCCCTGCATAGCTCTGACTTATTTGGGAACCACTATCCTAAATTATTCACCAGTCAAAGATTCTAACCAAACAAAAAATCAAAATCTGCTGATGTAAAGGCTCTTTAGACAGGAGAAGCGAAACATAGTGGCTTAGGCACACTGAGCGCCCCCCCCCCCACACGCACACACTCACATTCTTAAGGCTGACTTAGCCCTGCCACCCCTAAACAGTTCGCAAGAAACCTAAGCTATCCTCTTAACCATGTATAGACATTGACTTTTTAAGTATGGGTGTGTACATATTATTTTTAATATATAATTTTCGTTTTCATTTCAGCACAAAATAATATAATTAGTTAGTTAGTTAGTTAGTTAGTCTTTCCTCTTGTGTCGAGTGCGGCACATAGGGCAGAGGTCATGACTCTCCATGCATGGCGGTTCGTTGCAATCTGTTGTAGGTCTTGGATGTTTGAGTGGCCCATGAGTGAGCCTTCCCTGATGATAGTTCTACGTAAGGTTTCCCTTGGTCTTCCACGAGATCTTTTCCCCTGTGGTTTCCAAATGAGGGCTTGGTAAGGAAGTCTTGATTTATCCATTCTAAGGGCGTGGCCGACATAGTTCCAGCGGCGTTTTCGTATAAAATTAGACACATACTCTTGCCTGGATTCTTGCCTTATTTGTGTATTGGTTCGGAAATCTGACCATTTGAAATTTAGTATTCTTCTAAGGCATTTATTTTCAAAACTGTCTAATTTTGTGTCTAGAGTTTTCGTTGATTTCCAGCCATCGCATCCATAGGTTAGTACTGGAATCACACAAGAATTGAAGATCTTGAGTTTTGTGTGTTTGCTAAGTGTCTTTGATTTCCAGATGTTGGACAGTTTATTGAAGGCACTAGATGCCAGTGCTATTCTAAATAGTATTTCTGGTGCGGTATCTCCTGTAGATGACATCTTGCTCCCTAGATAAGTGAAACTGTTGACTTTTTCAAGGCTGTTGTTGTTCAGCGTGAAATCAACTGAACTGTTGGTAAGGTCTAGAATTTTTGTTTTTGCGGTGTTAATTTGGAGTCCAATTTGTTCTGAGAAATTCTGGAGTCGATTGATTTTTTTCTTGGGCGTCTGTGAGTTCTGAACTCAGGAGTGCTATGTCGTCGGCGAAGTCTAGGTCTTCCAGAATTTTGTCAACCCATGTAATGCCTAAATTTGCGTTATTTATGCACTTGCGCATGACCCAGTCGATTGCTATACCAAAAAGCATCGGCGATAGGACACAAATAATTTAATAGTAACTTTTATTACTATTATTATAGCGATGCGCAGTTAAACAAAACTTTAGCTCCTAAGCCTGTTCCCATCCTCTAGAAAATTATAACAGGACTGAGGCCACTCTTTTTAAGCGCCCCCCCCCCCCCCCCGCCCGGCACCCCTACTACGGCACCCTTGCCATTATCAGCAGGAATCAATTGCCAGTAGTGAGACATAACACATGCGATAAGTAGGTGAAGTGCGGTCAGAGCAAATGTGTTTGTGTGCACAACACAGTGCAGGCATCATTTATTGTCTGCCAAACTCAGTACAACTAACCTACATAAACAAACTACCAACTGGCATATATGTAGGGCCCGGGGTCGATTTACGGAGCTTGTTAAACAAAATAGCAAAGAACCCTTTTCCACATCTTCAGGTGTATTAGGCATATAGAGATGGAAACTGGGCCTATATTTCATAGACCAATCGGCACTCGGTGGGTAATAGGGTCATCATCGACCGCCTTTACTTCCTAGTACTTTACCTGGTGCCTTTTTAAGGCTGGAGGACCTAGAAGCCAATGTCGTTTTTTTGAGAAAAGTCCGGCTCGCCCAGAACATGAACCCACGACCTTTGGATACGCAGGTCAGCATCTAGCAGCTACACCAGTGCAGATTTCGGGAAGTTTGGGCCCTAGGTTAATCTCTCTTTTTCTCTGTCTGTCTGTCTGTCTGTCTGTCTGTCTGTCTGTCTGTCTGTCTGTCTGTCTGTCTGTCT